TCTGACAATCTGACAATCTGACAATTTGACAATTTGACAATTTGACATTCTGATAATTTGACAATCTAACAATCTGACAATCTGAAAGTTTGACAACTTGAAAATTTGACAATTTGAAAATTGTATCTCTGTTAAAATTGCAAATTTAAAAATCTGATTACTTGAAAATGTAAAATTTGATAACTTGAAAATCTGGAAACCTAAAAATTAAAACCCTGGAGAATATTAAAAAATGTAGAAATGTAGAAATATAAAAATATCAAACAGAGTAAACTAGTCAGTCATCGCAATTGCGTGTCAGGAACAGCCCTAATCGACAATCTAAAAGCATCAACCCTATCTAATCACAAAAATGATCAAGCATAAAAAAACAAAGAAATTCTGCGGCGTCGACCATTAATCACAAGGGAAGCATTCAATGAAACCGACACGTACGACGTTATCAGTGCACCATTAACCTTGTCAATCCACCCCGACGTCTCGATCAGAAAAGGAATTTTTTTCATTGAAAGTTAATATCCCTACGCGGAAATTGATCGTACTATTTGTGTATAGATCCAGACGCCATAGAAATATTTTGTCGTCGAGTCTTTTTCGGATCCTGTTCCTAGTTAAACACGGAAAAGACGAAGACCGCCCGAGGGTGGTGGGGTGAATTAAACGGCCGTGATGGAGGCTGTGGGATGGAAAGGGTGCAAACAGAGGATAAAACGTCGTACAGACTCTAGGGGTTGGGTTTACCGTATGCCTCCTCGTCTGTCTCGAGCAAGAAAGAACCATGGGAGCCAACGACGATCGATACGCTTCTCTGCGTATATCGCGAACTGAAGAGCCTACCAGCCATTTCTGTCCTCCTCTTTCTCTCTCTCTGTTACCCTTCTTTATTTTTATCCCTCGCTACCCCTTTTCTTCGTGCGTTCTAAAGCATCGAAACACGTGCTTTTTTGTTAACTTGCATGAGATTCTGCAATTGTTGCTGCTAATATGTGGATAGAGTGAGCTCATTTGCGGTGAGGGTTGCTTTCGTTATTGGTAATTAGGGATCTGATGTTAGACGTTTGTCGACTCAGCAATTTTTGATGTAATAAATTTTTAAATTATTGAAGTGGTAAATTCTTTAATTTTTAAGTTCCAAAATTTCTGGGTCCTCAATCCCTAAATTTCCAATTTCTCATCCCCCAAAATTCCGAGCTCTCAATTTCCAAATTTCCACGCAGTTAAATTTCCAAATTTCTATGTTCCCATATCCTCAAATTTCCAACTTCTCATCCCCCAAATTCCTACATTCCCATATCCTCAAATTTCCAACTTCTCATCCCCCAAATTTCCAACTTCTCAATCTCAAAATTTCCACGTTTCTGAATTTCCAAATTTCTATGTTTCCATATTCTCAAATTTCCAACCCCTCATCCCCCAAATTCCTACATTCCCATATCCTCAAATTTCCAACTTGTCATCCCCCAAATTTCCAACTTCTCAATCTCCAAATTTCCACGTTTTTGAATTTCCAAATTTCTACGTTTCCATATTCTCAAATTTCCAACTTCTCATCCCCCAAATTCTTAGATTCCCATATTCTCAAATTTCCAACCCCTCATCCCCCAAATTCCTACACTCCCATATTCTCAAATTTCCAACTTCTCATCCCCCAAATTTCCAACTTCTCATCCCCCAAATTTCCAACTTCTCAGTTCCGGAAATTTCCAACTTGTCATCCCCCAAATTTCCAACTTCTCATCCCCCAAATTTCCAACTTCTCAGTCCCGAAATTTCCAACTTCTCAGTCCCGAAATTTCCAACTTCTCATCCCCCAAATTTCCAACTTCTCATCCCCCAAATTTCCAACTTCTCATCCCCCAAATTTCCAACTTCTCATCCCCCAAATTTCCAACTTCTCATCCCCCAAATTTCCAACTTCTCATCCCCTAAATTTCCAACTTCTCATCCCCCAAATTTCCAAGCTCTCAGTCTCCAAATTTCCACACAGCTAAATCTCCAAATCCCAACATTTCCAAATTGGTAAATCCAGTACCCACCTATATTCCTAGAATCACCCACATTCCAAGTCCCATACTCCATAAATACGTATGAAATCGTATGTTACCAACATCCAAAACCTTGTATCGGTTTCTGAAATCCACCGATTCAAGAAACTACCCCAATGCACCCTTTTTCGTGCCACGTTTCTGTCCAATATCGAGTTACATCCACAGTTCAAAGCGAAGCCGTAAAACAACGCACTTATCGTGCAGACGCGTAACGCGATACGTCATAGGTGAACTCGATGATCCGCAACCCCGATTTCACCGTCTTATTTCGCAATTTTTATCGGATTCCTTTGTTCCTGGCTACCTGTTGCGATCTTCGATTTCGTCGGACGCGATTCGTAAATTACTAGACCGCTTTGATCCTCTTGTTTGTTTAAAGAACCGCCTCGGGCGGTTTGAAACGGAACACCGACGGAGAAGGTCGACTAATTTGCATGTAACGCGTCGCGACGTCGAGAAACATAATCATGGCGCGTAGATTGCGCGATGCAATTTACTCGCTAGCGTCAGACAATATGCCTGCAAACATCTGTTTCCAACGACGAGTATTTCGACTTGTTAAATCGTTAATATTGCAGGAATATTAAGTGAAACTTTGGACGACGAATTCACTGTTTGATATTTGAAATTTGAATTTATAGTTTATTCTTGCTTTGTACGTTTAATATTATTTATATTTATTTTATGTGTACTTATATGTACGTACTGAATATACACGTATATATGTATACTCATGTATGCACATATGTATGTGTATTAAGGGTGGCTCGCGTTGAACATCTATATAATTTCCACTGCTATTAAAGACAGGAAAAAATGAATACCCATATGGTTACATATGTTTCATATCATTGATTATATTTTTTTGCTGTTAATAGCAATGAGAATAATTTAGACGTTTGAGCTAAACGTAACACCCTGTACATATCACAAGAATAATTTCATTTTAATTCACTGTGTCATCTTGTTAAACATTAAATGATATAGTTTGTTCAGGTTAAAAAATTGTCTACATGGTTTCAATGAAAAATTTCATTATTCATATTTATAATAAGGAGACTAAATAAGTAATCTTGATATAAAATGATATCATATAAACAAAGTAATCTTGAAAATTTTGATTCACTGTGTCATCTTGTTAAAAATTAAATAATATAGTTTGTTCAGGTTAAAAAATTGTCTACACGGTTTCAATGAAAAATTTCATTATTCATATTTATAATAAGGAGACTAAATAAGTAATCTTGATATAAAATGATATCATATAAACGAAGTAATCTTGAAAATTTTGATTCACTGTGTCATCTTGTTAAAAATTAAATGATATAGTATGATCGATTTAAAAAATTGTCTACATGGTTTCAATGAAAAATTTCATTATTCATATTTATAATAAGGAGACTAAATAAGTAATCTTGATATAAAATGATATCATATAAACAAAGTAATCTTGAAAATGAAAGTAATCTCCCGAAAGACAATATCAAATTAAAATGGAACCAATCTTGAAGTCTAGCGTTGAAAACCAGATCTTGAGACAAAATAAGACTAGATAATCTCTTAGTAAAATGAGACTGAATCTCTAAGTAAAATGAGACAATCTTGATTCCGAAAAGGATGAAGAGGATCAGGTATTAATTGAACGACAAGTACGATTTAACGTTAAGAGAGTTATTACGCGATTCAAATGGCCGAGGCGGAGATTCCATGAGATATTTAAGCGGTCGCCATGCAGGACGACATACCACGATCATACTTGGTAGCCCATTAATGCCGCCTCTAGCACGTGACTCTTGGTAATTAGGTCAACGCCTGTACCGGCACGATTCTACGCGTTCGTGTTAGATACTACGACACTATAATTTCCCTTGTCTCTTTTGCAACCTCTCCGATACTTATCTTGCCAGAAAATTGCAATTTTGAGGTAAACGTCTTGATAGCTTTTGTTTCGGAATGGATATTCAACGTGGGTCGTTGAAAGAAATAATTACTAAATTTTAGCATACTGAGCTGGATTAGTGTTTTTCAGTTTCACGTAGAATTCTAAAAGGCACTCTCTTTTCACTTTTTTATCTAAGTACCTTTATTGTATCTTACAATTATGTGAGAGTATGTTGCACACAGTTATACATATGCAGTTATATGCATTATTATTCAACTTGTCACAGTTCAAAAATTGAATCTCCACGCTATTTGAATAGACGGATTAGCTATTACTTATTCACCTGTTGAACTAAACGGAATACAGCTACGTATCAAACTTCCCACCGTTCCTGCTCAATCAATTTGATAAATTTCTGTCCGATCAACCATCAACTTAATTTGAATATCACCTCCGTATCATCGCGGCTCTTCATACACTCCCGTCAAATTATCCGAAATCCGTATCAACGTCATCGCTTATGCATTCAGAAATTTACAATTATAATTTCAAGAATTTACATCAGTTTATTGGTATTGTTTCTGAATTTTTGCTTTCTACATGGATATTTTATACACTATGTACATTTGTGCCATACTAGGTATTTAGACCTAGATTTCTATTTATTGGTAAATTGTTAGAGCTAGAAATGGCAGAGATTTAGAGGTTTACAGATGGTGTGACTTAGAGATGGCAGAGATTTAGAAACTCAGAGAAAGATTCAGAGATTCAAAGATTCAAAATGGAAGCTTAAAAACTCATAAATTTTAAAAATCAGATATTTGGACTCACACATTCATACGCACAGAAATGAGAGAATTTTAGAATGAAATAATAGAGAAATTTAGTGAACTAGAAATACATGAACTTGAAATTTCCACTCTGTCAATGTCAACCCACTCTGTCAACCCATAAGTAGCCAAATAAGTAGCCATAAGTGGATAATAATTCAGCAGCGCATTAATGCTAGGTATGAGTCGTTAAGTCGTATTTTGTACGTTACCTTGCGTGCTGCCATTGGGTTGTCCAACCTGCGGCATCCCTGGGTAAAGGGGCGAGGGATGAGGCGAGGGTTGATTGCTGGGTGGTCCTGTAGAATGCGGATTGGCAGTCGTGGGGGTCGGCGTGGCCGATGGTACTTGCTGAGATTGTTGGGATTGCTGGACGTTACCAACGGACGTGGGTGTTGCTGCAGGGGTACCACCAGGCCCGCTACCAACCCCACCAGCCGGTTGCTGTTGTTGTTGTTGCTGCTGCTGCTGATGAGTCTGCTGCGGAGTAGGAGGTTTCTGACCGTCGGGCGAGTCGCAGGTCGCGTCTGAAATAGAACACACTTTCAGTCGAAATTCAACAGAGAACGTTCTACGAATAGTCATAGAATTCGTCTACCACGAGATTTTCGATTAGTTTGCCTCGGGCAAACGCGTTCTGTGGATTCGAGCTAAACCAGGGTGTTTGACGCTGTACCAGGGTTGTGTTTGGGTAGCTTTGACGCTTTGTCTTCGTTATTCCGATGCGAGAATGATTAATGAGGCTTGGTTATATCGAATGGGGGTCCGAACCGAGATTAAGATCGAATTAAACGGATAAATTAGAGAGGAGGTCTCTTCTGGCGAAGTAGCAGAAAATTAATGAACGGAGTTAATTCATTTAGATGAGGGACCTTGATTGAAACTCTTTCCGGGCGAAATTTCATTATTCGGAGTTACAGGATAATTGAAGGCATAAATTAAAATCGGAACGATATCGATCAACATTCGATAAGAGTGGGAGTTTTAATTATCTTTTAAAAAATTAATTGGCGCGATCATTCGTGGAAGATGGGCTTCAAATTACATTAGGACTACTTTCTTTTCTTGCAAGACAATGTAGATATTTTACACGGTGAATGTTTTAATAATAATTATAAATTTATAGAGTATCTACTTGTTTCAACTCGTAATTTGTTACGGTAGAATATTCGGAGTTTGATAAGAAATTTCTCATTTGGGCAATTCGCTTGGAAACGAAACTATTTCAATGTTACAAGTCTACGAGAACATGGAAATGCCTTGGTGCTATTTGAACAACCCCCGAAACCGTCTCGTTTATTCACGAGCTACAATTAATTAGAGATTTCGGCTTGTTCGACTAGGGAAACACGGTGTTCCAAACTTGTACGAACCACCCCGAGAAAGATGAATGATGGTAGAAGCTGTTGAAGAGCTTGGAAATCAATATCCGACAAAGTTCTTCGACGGAAAACACGCTCAACAGGCATTGTTGTGCCAACTGAAGGGAATCTATTAATCAACTCGAGTTTCATGAGAGGAATGTTTTGGATCCACTTTCGTAATTACGTCCGACATCGAGCGTTTAGTACATTATTACCGAGATAAGAAAATTTCAATAAAACGACATTAAACTATCGTTTGGAGACAATGGACCGACGTCAACTTCTCAAAGTCCCTTTAACCCTTTTGTAGGCAAATATTTTGATATTTTTTTTAACTACATTCTTGCGAAAGTATTACAAAGAATTAAATTCTCTTGGTTTCAAGTTTCTAACTTCGCATATAATTGCTCTTGGAGGTTAAAGAAAAATTTCTGTTATTCAGAATGTGAAATAAAAGTTTCTGTGCAGAGAGTAAGCCTGCAATGCTCGTCGGTAAAAGAGACCATTACCTTATCACCTAACGATAAAACAATCACTGATCGACAGAATCAATTTCTTTTTGCATTCTATTGAAATATTACGTTAATTACAATTTTTAATTATATTTTTAGGTTTTAACTAAATGTCACTAAAATGTAACTAAAACTCAATGTCAATCTTTTACAAAATGATGGGTTTTTTTTAGTTATCATAGTTCGATGATCCGACCATGTCTCACCGGAAATTAAAGCCATGTCTGCACCATAACGAACGGGAAACCTAATTACATTCTTTAGCGACGCGACGTGTCTTGCCCTTCGTGTCTCGTTTCAACCCGGAGACCGCGGGCCCTTATTTCCTGATCAATCGAACGCTGGACAGGTTCCACCCTTTGACGGAAATTCAGAAATTCCATAAACTGTTATGTTTCGGAAAAAGTGAAAAAATAGTAGATTACGAAAATGAGTTGCAGAGAGTCAATTTTTGAAATAGCATGATTTAAAATACTTTTTGATCTCAAATTTACTGTTAAATGTGAAGATAGCAATTTAGGAACTTGTTAAATTGTCAAAATGAAAGATGGGAAATCTTTCAATTTGCAAAAATAGCAGCTAAGAAGTCATCCAAATAGGAAAATAGCAATTTAAGAAATTTTTGAATTGTCAAAATAAAAATTAGCAAATCTTTTCAACATGCACAAGTAACACCTGCGAAATTACCTAAACTAAGAAATATTAACTACAGAATTCCCGAAAATTATAAAAATGAAAATCAGGAAATTTTCCAGACTGCAAAATTAATATAAAAATTGCTGAAATTGAAAAATAGCAGCCCCAAAATCTCCCAAATAATAAAAATAAAAATTGAAACAGATTTGCAAAATTTCCCAACCTACCAAAAATGAAGAAATTTCGCAACAGCACCCAAAGGATAACCCAAACCGTAAAATTTTCGCGAACAACAAAAAGTGAAATTAAAATACTACCCAGTAAACTGACTTCCAAACTTCAGCAATTTGCAAAAGATTTATAGTCCAAGTATGAATAATTCAAGACACGGACAGGAGCAAACAAAGCGACGTTATAAAATTCGTGGTAGGTATTCGGGTTTCAGGCCAGCTGTCTATAAATCACGAACGACGAGGAACGGTAACAGATGGTAAAACGGTAAAACTTACCATTTTCTGGAAACGACGTGGACCTTATCACGGGCAGCAGTATTCCTTTCTGTACCAACTCGTCTCTGCTTGCTCGTACGGAGATTTTCCTCTCGAGCGCTGCAATCGCACGAAAAGACACCCGTTATCATTCGCTTACCGATAAATCACCCTCCGTGCATATTGACCCCTTTTGGTCGATACACAAACCACCATAAATATTTCTTAAATAAAATCGACACATATGACACCGTGTGCATTAATATTCTGCTTCGAATATAATTCTAGTCATTTTCACAGCGGATATAAATATGAAGTGTACAAATGAGGGATGAAGTGTTATTCAGAAAAAGGGAGAATTTATACTGACTTGCCAATGGAGTCGAAAAATCAAAATTCTAAGTTTAGGATAATTTATCATTCAATAAAGAATAGAGTTCAATCGAATAATAAAAAAATTAATAAAAAAAAAGTAGGAAAATTGTAAGAAAGAGTTATGGTTTAAACAAAGTCTCTGTCGATAAAAAAATGAAATAAAAGTCACATTTCTTGATCGAATTTTTTTGTAATATTTAGTATACGGATAAAAGAATACGTACACAAGGAGGCAGCTTCAAATTTATCCGATTTCTTTTTCCGTTTCCATTTCCAAGGCTTAAAGAGTCTACCGAGTGCAGAGAACTTGCTTTTCCTTTCGAGGGGTGGTGTTCTCGCCCCCGAACCCAAACTGTTCGTTCGCAGAGCCGCCCCATTTTGTTTCTTCGCTGTAAACAAACAAAAAAAACATCGTTAATAAACAGATTTAGTAAACTACAGAGTACAGTTAAAATTAAAACGATCGTTGGTAACATAAACGTCGGAGTTATCGACTTGGGATACGTTTCTCCACGTTTTCCAGGGAAATGGGAGAATTTCTACGTTACCGACGAGGGATGAAACATCCCCTAGAAAGTGCGTTTACCACCCAATCGATCGACCAATTACCACGGTTATAGAGATGCTTTATTTGGAAACTTGCATGCAATTAATAAACACAATGTATGATAAAAAGTATTCAATTTTGCTATTCGAGCAAACAAAAGAGAAGAGGAAAACTTTAAATGTAGTCGGTCAAAAATATTTGAAAATAGCATTCGAATTTTTTATCACTAAAAATAACAGGAAATAACAGGAAAGTGAAAAATGTCGAAGAAAAGATTTAAATTCGTTTGCAGTATTTAGATTAATTGTATTAAATATAGAGTACTGAAGTAACTTCGAATTTTCTGTTAGAAAAGAGAAAAATTTTGAAATTCGACAAAAATACCGTGTACCATTTTTTATTCGTGAAATTTCACGAAAGAGTACGCAGCGAAGAAAAGCTAATATACGGCGGAAATACGGTGAGAAACGGCTTCCATTGCGCCCGGAAGTGAAAATTATTTCCGCAGGTTATTGTACCTTTCCCGTAGAAACAGATTCCGAATAGCTAAACGAATATTCGCGGAAAATCGTATAGAATGTGGCCAGCCGAGAGTTGGCTCTTAACTCATTGTCAGACGGCCATGTCGATGTCACCATAAAATCAATACCCGACACCGTGGCCCCATAGATATTTAATGGCTGTCGTTTCTCGAGGAAGAAAAACTCTTAGTCTTAGAAGCTTCATTCGCGAATTCGCTCGATAAACAATTCGTATCTCTTTTTAATTGATAATCGAACGTATCGAATGCGAAACGTTATTCCGTGTTTTACGATTACAAAACACTGCTTTGATGCATTCCGCTCTAGTAACTGGTAATTAGTTCGCGCAATAGCAGCCTATGTTAACGACTAATTAATCTGAATGGCAATTTAATCGAACGATTCCAATTTCTCGTTTATAGTGTTCATGGAAATATCTGGCCGATTATCGGTCGTAAATCAATTAGTTAAATTTTATATTACCAGGAAATTCGCAACTTTCGACAGAATTATTTTTCGAAGTCATTTATGATAATTGAAAAATAAATTGGTGTAAAGATAAAGCGAGTCAATTATTATCGTTTTCACCCTCCATTACACAAACAATGAACACCCTTCAAGGATGAAGTTTATCAACGATTGAATAAACCACCCCTTGAGAAAAATTCACCCTCCTGTCTACGACATATGGATCTTGATGAAGCTTTAACGTCCGTTGCAACACCCCCCATGCAGAAGATACACACGAGATCGTGTATCTTCGTTTGGTGGTAAGTAAAAGCGCAGACAGGGAGGGTAAAAGGGAAAGGACAAGGGTAGTCGTTGTCAAACGCCAATTTCGGGGTGTTCTCAGCGGGGAATACCGGATGATAACGTGCGGTAGGGCAGTTTCCTCGAGGACGACGATTATCAGCCTTAAGCGTCCCTCGGGGACACTTTTGGATAGAGGATCTTGAAAGCTAAATTCTTGCCACCTAACATAGAAGGGTGAATTTATTCCGTTTATTGAAGATTTTGCTCGCAACGGACCCTTTTACATCCACTTTGGGAGTAATTAAGCAACTTCGTTGGTTTTCGTGAATCTTTCAGTGCGGTTAATGATGGAACTAGTCAAAGTTAGTTTCACAAATTCTGTGGCGGGCTACTGGATTTATTTGGTGTATTTTCGGGTCTTCAGATTTCTTGGCTCTTGTGGCTCCAAACTCTTTTAACGTGGTTAATGATGGAATTACTGGTCAAAGTTAGTTTCACAAATTTTGTGAAGGGTTACTGGATTTATTTGGTATAGATACTTAATTTTCTAGTTCTCAGATTTCTTGGCTCTTGTGGTTCCAAAATCTTTTAGCGTGGTTAATGATGGAATTACTGGTCAAAGTTAGTTTCACAAATTTTGTGAAGGGTTACTGGATTTATTTGGTATAGATACTTAATTTTCTAGTTCTCAGATTTCTTGGCTCTTGTGGTTCCAAAATCTTTTAGCGTGGTTAATGATGGAATTACTGGTCAAAGTTAGTTTCACAAATTTTGTGGCGGGCTACTGGATTTATTTGATATATTTTCGGGTCTTCAGATTTCTTGGCTCTTGTGACTCCAAACTCTTTTAGGGTGGTTAGTAGTGGAATTAGTCAAAGTTAGTTTCACAAAGTGGTTACTAAGTTTATTTTGTGTGGACACTTATCAAATTTTCAGGTCCTCAAATATCTGAGCCCTGAAAAATTATTTTCTTCAATTTTTAAATTAAGAAACTTAAAAATTACAAATTTCTAAATCCTCAAATATTAAAATTAACAATAATTATATTAAACATAGCACAGCCACCACTAGTCTGAAATAAACTATAACTCTGTTGTATTATAACATGAGGCCTTTTTTCTCCAAAAGTTTACTTAGCTCAGAAATTTATTTGTTCACATCATTCGATATTAATAATGATTCAACCAAGGATTAAGTTATTGCCTGTTGGGCTGCTAATATTTGATAACAGAATTGATCGATCCACGTCTATGCTCGATTTTTGAGCGACGCGATAAGCGTCGCGATAAAAATGTCAATCGTCGACGAAATCGATGTATTTTTTAATTTTCTCGCGCGATAAAATGAACAATGCAGTGGTATTAATTTCGTACAATTTCTCGATACTAAAATAATATTTAATTTTTATATGGTACTCAGATTTCCACATTTTTTATATTCGATAAATTAAAACGGTAGTGTAGATAATACTGCAGTTATTCAAGAAATAGCAGTATCAATTTTGAAGCAATCTAATACGGTCGGTATTGATTTTGCGTTGAATTTCACTAGAAAGCAATAGCGGAAAGAAGTACACTGGTGTTATTTAATTAACACTATTTGAGTGCACGTATCTGTTTACGAATAAAAATCGATTCTTCAACAGTTTGTAAAGTGAATCACTGAGTATGTGGAAATACGTCTCATACAACGTGACGCACCGGGTGCGTCGGCCTCCCTTACAGAGAAGTCACAAAATGGTGTACTAAAAACTGAAACTTGTAAAGAAGTTCCATGCAAAGAACAAGCAAAAAATAGGTACTAGAACAAATTAATCAAACAAATTGCCCTTAAATTTAAATAATTTACAAAATGAATATGTTATGAAATGCAAGTTAAATAAATTCCAACGATCTAAATAAACCGAGTTCCGCTAATACAAGTTGGAAAACATTTCCGTAAATTCTCATTGTTCCAGGAACGTCAATTACCGCTATTTCGTAAATACGTTTCCACTTATTAGGTGATCAGCGAAGAAAACAGCGGAAGAGGCGAAAATACGAGAACAACAACGAACAAGATCCGTCGGTTCAATAACGAGCGACACGTTTCGAGGAACCGGCAACCATTCGATTTCCGGGGGTCAGACTTTTTCTCGGTACTGAATGGCATCAGAAATGGCTTAGCGTTGGCACGAGATTCGAGAAGACATTCCTTGGCAACCGTTGCGCCTCAAAATTACTCGAAGAACGCTCGATCGATCGGCTATGCAACACTCGTTCAGAATCGTTCGATGCTGATCGACACGGATGCCTCAAGAGCATCTTTCGAAAACAGCCTACTTGATATTTTATGCTGTGAAAATGTGTTCGAGATTCCGCTTCATTTCGAGATGCATTCGGTTTATCTGTTAATATCAAATGTGGAGGTACTTTATGTATACACATACTGAGATCATTCTATAATTAACTTTCTCTCAGCATAATTTAACGTATTTTGTTTATGATCATCCTCATAATCTGATAGTGACATGTAACTGTTCATTATTAATATTAGAACTGAATGGGGCAAATATTCAAACTCTCCTGCAATTTTCTAAATAACATTATTGTAGATTCTTGAACAGTTTATAAATAAAATAACTGAACATACAGAAATACTGCTAAACACAAGGTGACTCACCAGATGCGTCAAACCCTTTTACAGCGATATCGGAGTTCACAAAGTAACAGAACAGTCAAATGAAAATACTCAGAAGCGAACATATCGGAAATCGAAGAAATTCGGCAGTTAAATGGTTTCGCTAAAAGAAATCGGTTGGAACGTTGAAGGGAGAAAAGGGTAGATCGGTATAAGGGGTCGAAGTGGAATAATTGACGCGACAAAGCGGTTCCGGTGCCTAGGAGGCCTATTCACGCGCGTCAAAGGCTGTCGAGAACCCGTTGCATCGATGTGCATCGTCTACGTCCGCAAACAATGGCAATATTAACGCGACGATGGAGTGCAGTTCCCATTGTTCTGGATCGCGATGCATCTTAACGTGACCCGCCCATCATCCTGGCAAGACGTGTACAAAAATAAATGGAAGACAAATAGGCGTCAGCCGTGCATGTTCGCCCGATAAAAATCAATTTTCTAACAGGAATATCGATCTTTCTTGGCATTCAATAGATTCGACGTGAATTATAGAGCGGATGAAAGTGTGAAAAATGTCCGGAGGAAACAACCGAAACTATTTGATTGAAGAACGATGGAAATTTGTTTGGGGGTGATTTTTTTGTTTCCTTACTTTATTATTCTCGATCTCGTTTTATTTATTACCGTGAACAATAGGATTCATCCTGTACTCAAATAAATTTTTGCAAAATTTTTACATGATCTGTCTGTTACAAAACCTTACAGTTGTTCAAGATTCTATACACAAGTAAACTTAAACTCTACCTTGGAACCCCGTCGAAACCACAGAACCGCATAAACAATGTTGCCTCCAAAAGTCTAATTCTCGAGACATATCGACAGACGAAAATTCTTGCACGCGTTATCGAATCACACGGCAATTTAATCCTCGCTACGGCACGTGTCACATTGC